CAGGTCGAGGCTGCGGTGGCTGGGAGCGGCCACTGCACTCCAGTCTGGGCGACAGAGTGAGACTCCAACTCAAAAAAAAAACTACTGAAGTATGATTTGAGTGTGTTTTAGAAAATTAACCAAACTTGAAATATTTAGAACATTTTATCATGGAAGAGAAGACCTCATGAAAATATCAAGTGTTCCTCAACTCCAAAGGAGCTTTTCTCCTTTTCCTTTGTCTTTATAACTGCCTGTTCTGTTACCACAAATCCCACTGTGGTATGAAGTGTTACATAGAGTGAGTAGGGAATGGTGCCAGGTAGCAGCTGGCTGAGGGAGAAAGAAGGAAGTTCTAAGCTACAGCAGTGAGGAAAAGGGCAAAGGCTCTTTTGCCATTGGACTGCTGAACTTACTGCTCACATTATATATACAAATATAATATGTATATATTCCCATTTGTGTACAAGTTGGGGGTGTGTTACTAGGGCTACCTGTAAGTAGGATTTCCTTTTTCATTGTACCTATTGTATTAGTGTAACAGTTTCACCAAATCACTTTCCAGTCCTGCTCAGTTACATCACTGACTGAATTGTCATTTTCTTTTTCCTTTTCTTAAAAAAATTGACCTTGCCCATATTTAGTAACATTGCCAATAGTGAAAAGTTAAAATAAGGAATATTTTTGAGACCAAAACTCATGGAAAAGTAAGCCCTTGAAGAGTTAAGAATTGTAGTATTCTTAAAAGTCTGATTTTTGAAACATTGAGGAAGAACAGTTGAAGCAGTCCACTAGTTTGGATTAAGTTGTATGAATTTGACACAGGAGTTATTGGTTTCTCTTTGTGTGGGTGTTTTTTTCTCAACATTGTTTTGAGCTAAGAAATGTAGCTTATAATTCTCAAAGGAAAAAATTTGAGCATGACAAACTGACATACTGGTTGGCGTTTGGTTTTAGAACTAGAAGCCTTGAAGCAGCGTTTCTGGAAGCATGCTAATCCAGCAGCCAAACCTAAGGCTGGTCACATGGTAAATGTGAATGTCATAGTGAAAGATGTGGGTGCTGATGGAAAGGAAGAGCTAAAGGCAGATGTGGTACCTGTGATTTTGACGGCTGAGAAGCTGGATGGAGCAAGCCACACAAAACCAGGTATTTGAGTCCACAGAGTTTTTTTCCTTATCTTTTTGCTTTTTGCTTTATACTCTAGCAGATCTTTATGACTGCTGAAAACCCTATAGTGAAAAGTTGTAGAATCTTTATCCTTGGAGACTTTGGAGATGGGACAGCAATATCTTTGGAATGACTCATGTGTAGTACACCTAGAGGTGTGGGGTGAGCAAGCAGACTTTATTTCTTAAAATATCATTTGTCTTATTAGGAAAAACTATACATATTTATTACATAGAATACATAGAAATAATAAAAAAACTTAATCTTCTGTCAAAGATAAGTTCTGTAACCATATTGTGTATCTGTCCTTGTAAATGCACCTCTTTGCATTTATGTATGTGTATGTTTTTATTGTAATCGTACCATGCATTCTGCTTTGTAATCTGCTTTTGTGTTTTAACAATATCAGGACAGGTCTGTTCTCACTCTTACTTTGAAAATACAAGTAATATATCATATAAAAAAAATGTAAAACACTGAAAAAATTGTATTAATGAAAAATTAATCTTCCCACACAATTTCTTATATGTCCCTGTAGAAAAATTTGTATTCACATACCATTTTGTGTGTATGTGTGACATAAATCATTTACTCTCTGTCAGGCACTGTTTTTGGTGCTTTACATGCATTGTCTCATTTAATCCTCACAACCTCTAAGGCAAATAATATTAGTATCCTTATTTTATGCATGAAGAAGCCGATATGCAGAGCACTTAAGCCACTTGCTCAAGTTTACACAGCTAGTAAAGTGGTAGTACCAGCAGCCTAATCCAGACCACCTACCTCCAGAGATCAGATCCACATTGTATTGCTTTTGAGGCTTTTTTAAAAATGGCTGCATAATATTTCATTGAATGAATACAATATGATTTGTTAAACCATGCTCCTACTGATGGACATCTTGTTTGTTCCAGTTTTTGACTGTTGCATATTATGTTGCATCCTAGTACCAGATATGTATTGGTATATCTAGATGCAAAATTCCTTACCTTGAAATAATTGCATCAGGTTTTTATACATATCATTCAATTGTCTTTCAGAATGGTTGTACCTGTTTACCCTCTGAATCAATGTGTGAGTCCCTGTTTCCTCTTGTTACTAATGGATATAATCAAACCTTCTAATTTTTGCCAAACTAATATATAAAAAAAGATATCTCATTATTATAATTTGTAACTCTTGAATTGGAAATGAGGTTAAAAGCATTACTTTTAATTTGTTTATTAACAATATATGTTAACTGGGCACAGTGGTTCATGTCTGTAATCCCAGCACTTTGGAAGGCTGAGGCAAGAGGATTGTCTGAGCCCATGGGTTCAGCAACATGGTAAGACCCCATCTCTACAATAAATCAAAAAATTAGCTGGGTGTGGTGGTTCCAGCTACTTGGAAGGCTGTAGTGAAAGGATCGTCTGAGCTTAGCAGGTTGAGTCTGCAGTGGCCATGAGCATGCCACTGCACTCCAGCCTGGGTGACAGAGTAAGACTTTGACTCTGTGTGTATATATATATATTTATTTATTTATTTATTTATTTATTTATTTTTCTGTGAGCTACCAGTTCTTTTGCCCATTTTACTTTTGAGTTGTTTTATTTAATATAGGTAAATATATCAAAGTTCTCCTTGGCTTCTGAGCCAGAAACTTTTGAAGCTTTACTTTCTCCTCCCACCATTTTTCCCTTTGAAGGATTATTTTATAATCCCTAAGTAGTATATTATCCCAGGGTGCAGATGTTCTCTTTTATACTTTTATTTTTTTGAGTCTGAGTCTCACTGTGTTACCCAGGCTGTACAGTGTCACAGTATTAGGGCTTAGTGCAGCCTCAACCTCCTGGGTACAGGCGATCCTTCCACCTCAGCCTCTTGAGTAGCTGAGACTACAGGCATGAACCAACACGCCTGGCTAATTTCAACATTTTTTTTTACAGAGATGAGGCCCTGCTATGTTGCCCAGGCTGGTCTTGAAATCCTAGGTTTAAGTGATCCTCCCACCTCAGCCTCTCAAAGTGCTAGGATTACAGGCATGAGCCACTGCACCCAGGCTCTTTTACACTTCTATTTATGATAATTTCCATATGTCAAAATAACAACAGCAACAAAAACCTAGAGTACTATAGATCTCTGATTTTCCTTTTGGGATGTGACTAGAATATTTCTGGAGTTACCTGAAATGCATGCTTGGGCCAGGTGTGGTGGCTCACGCCTATAATGCCAGAACTTTGGGAGGCTGAGGCAGAAGAATTTCTTGAGTGCAGGAGACTGAAGACCAGCCTAGCAAAAAAGTAAGACTTTGTCTTTACAAAAAAAATAATAAATTAACTGGGTGTGGTGGCACACACCTGTAGTCCCAGCTACTGGGGAAGCTGAGATGGAAGAATTGTCTGAGCCTGGAAGGTCAAGGCTATGGTGAGCTGAGATCATGCCACAGCACTCCAGCGTGGCCAACAGAGTGAAACCCCAACTCAAAAAATAAATAAAGATGCATACTTAATTGCTGTATATGTAGTTTGTCATTATGTCTAAAGTATTTCTTCTTTTTTGTGTGTGAGTTGGAATCTCACTCTGTTGTCCAGGATGGAGTGCAGTGCTCACCACACCCTCGACCTGCTGGGCTCAGGCAATCCTTCTGCCTCCTTCCAAGTAGCTGAAACTACAGGTGTGTGCCAGCACACTCCAGCTAATTTTTTGATTTATTATAAAGACAAGGTCTTGCCATGTTGCCCAGGCTGGTCTTGGCTTTCACCTTGGGCTCTTAAAGTGTTGGGAGCCACCACACCTAGCCAATTTCTACATATTTCTGTTCAGGTGAAAAGCTTCAAGTGTTAAAAGCTAAACTGCAAGAGGCAATGAAACTCCGAAGGTTTGAGGAACGCCAAAAGCGCCAAGCTTTATTTAAATTAGATAATGAAGATGGGTTTGAGGAGGAAGAAGAGGAGGAGGAAGAAATGACTGATGAATCTGAAGAAGATGGAGAAGAAGAGGTAGAGAAAGAAGAGGAAGCTGAGCTAGAGGAAGAGGAGGAGAAAGAAGTGGAAGAAAACAATCAGGAGGTTTCTGGCAATTATATAATTTTGTTATTTGGTCCTGATAAATAAAAAGAGAAAATCAGATTTGAATAAGCATGTTCTGTTGTATAAAAGATTTCAGGGGCATGAATGAAGGTAGCTATTTCCTTTTTTTTTTTTTGAGTTGGAGTCTCACTCTGTCACCCAGACTGTAGTGCAGTGGCTGCTCTTGGCCACCGCAGCCTCAACCTGCTGGGCTCCGGCGATCCTTCCGCCTCAGCCTTCCAAGTAGCCAGAATTACAGGCATGTGCTACCACGCCCGGCTGATTTTTGATTTATTGTAGAGATGAGGTCTTGCTGCCCAAGCGGGTCTCGAACCCACGGGCTCAGGCAATCCACTCACCTCAGCCTCCCAAAGGCACGGGATTACAGGCTGAGCCACCGAGCCCGGCTGGAAGTAGCTATTTCATATGTGCCTAAATCTTAGCACATTCAGTTCTGTCAGTACTATTGAACACCTGTAGTTAACAGAGCTATAACCCTGGCTTTTACCTGTTAGATTATATATTTAAATATAATGCTAATATTGAAAATGGCTTTGTATTATAGGGAATTTTATCTTTGTTGTTTATTTAGGTTTCTCTATTCAAATTAAAAGCAATCTTACCTTGACCAGACTGAGGTCTGTAAGAAATTCTCAGGGAAGCAGAGGGCTTCCTTAGTTAATTTCATTCTTTGTTTTTTTCCTTTTCTTTTTTTTTTTGAATCAGAGTCTAACTTTGGATCAGACTCAACCTCGGGCTCAGGCAATCCTTCCACCTCAGCCTCCTGAATAGCTCGGACTGTAGCATGTGCTACCACATCTAGCGAATTATTTATTTATTTATTTATTTATTTTTGTGGATACAAGTCTCGATGTGTTGCCTAGGCTGACCTTGAACTCCTGGGCTCAAACAATTTTCCCATGTTGGCTTCCAAAAGTGCTGGGGTTACAGGCATGAGCTATCTACACCTGACCAAATGTCATTCTTTGTTGAAGAAGGTATTTGTGGAAGGACCTCTTGCATTTGTTCCATAGTACTGTTTTCTGCTTAGGGAAGACAGGTGGTAATATGATTGTTAGGTATTTAAAAACTTTCCTTTTTGTATGCTAGGGTCACTTGAAAGAGTCAATATTTAACCTTGAATAAAGGAAAAAGAAAGCATTGGCTGAGCTGGGCAGCCTATCCTAGTCTGTGGCTGATTTCAGCCTGCAGTTTGAGACTAATCATTTAACCTCTTATTGCCTCAATAAAATTCAGTCAGCCGGGCTCGGTGGCTCAGCCTGTAATCCCGCGCCTTTGGGAGGCTGAGGTGAGTGGATTGCCTGAGCCCACGGGTTCGAGACTTGCCTGGGCAGGCGAGACCTCATCTCTACAATAAATCAAAAAAATTAGCCGGGCGTGGTAGCGTGCGCCTGTAGCTTCAGCTACTTGGAAGGCTGAGGCGGAAGGATCGCCAGAGCCCAGCAAGTCGAGGCTGCGGTGGCTGGGAGCGGCCACTGCACTCCAGTCTGGGCAACAGTGAGACTCCAACTCAAAAAATAAATAGATAAATAAAAATAAAATAAAATTCAGTCTTCCTTCATAATCTTGTAGGAATTTGGGGAGGGTAAAAGGTAAACAATAAGTATAAAAGAACTCTAGACATGTCAGGGAAAATTATGTTGATGAAATGGTCATATGGATTTTCTTCCAAATACACCTTTTCAGATTTAAGATGTGAACTGTTATCAAGCAACTATGTTTCAGGCTAACAATGTATTTGCTTTAAATTTTTTTGACTTGTATTATTTTGGTTTTTGGTGGCATTATTGGTAAAGATTACAGAATTCCTTCTGAGTGGTGAAGAAATAGAAACCAAAGATGAAAAAGAAATGGATAAAGAAAATAACGATGGCAGTAGTGATATTGGCAAATCAGTTGGCTTTCTCTCTGTTCCCAAGCCTCTCTCATCAGATTCTACCTTACTTCTATTTAAGGACAACTCTTCTAAGATGAGGTAAAAAATCTCCCTAAAGAAATATAAAATTATCTTGGATTTGTCTATCTTGTAAAAAGTAGGGACAGATACTGAAACAATTAATTTTCTTATTTCGTAGTTACTTTCCTACTGAAGAAAAATCAGAAACAGATGAAAGCACAGACAAACAGCCTAGCAAACTGGGTAAATAGTGATTCTTGTGCATAATTGACATTTCTTTTGTCCTCCAGCTTTGATACTTAAGGATGACAATTCCATAAGGCTCTATTTTTAAATTTTTATTCTATTTATTTATTCATTTATTTTGAGTCAGGATCTTACTCTGTTGCCCAGACTGGGGCAGTGGCATCAGTGGCATGATCAAGACTTGCCGTAACCTCGGCTTCTTGGCTCAGGTTATCCTTCTGCCCAGTTTTTTTAATCTGATGGTTTCTCTCACTTTTTTTTTTTTTTTTTTGAGTTAGTGTCTCACTCTGTAATCCAGGCTGGAGTACAATGGCATTCTCACTGTCACCGCAGCCTCGACCTGTGGGGCTCAGATGATCCTTCCGCCTCAGCCTTCCAAGTAGCTGGAACTACAGGCGCACATCACCATGCCTGGCTAATTTTTATTTTATTTTATTTTATTTTATTTTATTTTATTTTATTTTATTTTATTTTATTGTAGAGAGGAGGTCTCACCAAGTTGCCCAGGCTGGTCTCAAATTCCTGGACTTAGGCAATCCTCTCACCTCGGCCTCCCAAAGTGCTGGGATTACAGTCTTGAGCCACTGCACCCGGTCCTGACTTCCCAGTCTTACCTGTGGCAATGAAAGGAGTTTATGAATTAGAACATCTTCCTTGGTCCATTTTTTGAAAACTTATGTGCAATTTTTTTATAGTAGGCCATGAACATATAGTTTTAGTGAATGTGCAGTTTTTGAGTAAACCATGAAATATTTCTGTATGTACATCAAGGGAAGATGTATCATTGATTGGATAATGAAGAGGATATAATGAAGATCATAGGTATTAGGCAAGGTGAGAGAAAGAAGAGAACTTTCAAGTGTCACTTAGCTCAGAGTAATAAGTTCTGATTATATAATGCTATCTTAGTACTGTAATTTACCTTCAACTTAATGTTTTGGAACATATAACTTTAGGAGTTTGCCTATGAATTTGATCTATTTCATCCTCAATTCTTTCTCCAACAAATTCACCTTATTTCTGTAATCATGGACTTAAAAGTGTTTCTCTTTCTTTAGATGAAGATGATTCATGTTCATTGCTAACAAAGGAGAGCAGCCACAATAGCAGCTTTGAGCTGATTGGCTCCACGATTCCATCCTATCAGCCTTGCAACAGACAAACAGGCCGTGGATCCAGTTTTTTCCCTACAGCAGGAGGATTCAGATCTCCTTCCCCTGGGCTATTTCGAGCCAGTTTGGTCAGCTCAGCTTCTAAGGTAAGATGGTAATGGTTTTTCTAATCTCCTCTTCTCTTTGCTTCCCACATTGCTAAATAAAGTATGTCCCAGCCAACCAACTCCCACCACATTGGTACTGAGCTTATATGTGTTCACTTTTAAAAATCCACCCCCTTTGTGTATTAAAAACAAGCTTCATCCAGTGTTCTTACTTTCTTGGAGGTAGTTTTCTTCATGCTTCTTTTGGCTATACATTGTCCTCCTCAACTGCAATTGCCTGAGAGTAGATTAAATGTTCAAATAGCAACTTCTGTTGTTGTCATGACAGTGAATGACATTTGTAAAATGTTTTGTTATTGTTTGTTTTGGTTTTGGTTTCAGAGTTCAGGAAAACTGTCTGAGCCTTCACTTCCCATAGAGGATTCCCAGGATCTATATAACGCCTCCCCAGAGCCTAAGACACTTTTCCTAGGAGCAGGAGACTTCCAGTTCTGTTTAGAAGATGACACTCAGAGCCAACTGTTGGATGCAGATGGGTAGGTAGTTTTGTGTTTCTGTGGGTGGAAATGGTGCTGGGTACTGCTTAATTTTATTTAAAAATAAGTGAGCTTCTGTCACTCCATCTGTGCTTTCTCTTCTGAGAAAGAGAAGGTATACAATCCATTAGTATTACATTCTACAAGTTTGAACAAAGTCTGTCCAGAAAATAAAACATAAATAACTCTTGCTGACATTCTGATCCTTAATCTTTGTCTTATTTGCTTAGATTTGTATTGTAAAGTCTTCAAGTTTCCCTGAATCCATCCTACTATGTTATGATTGTTAGGTAAGATAGAGAATTCATAGACCAGTGGTATATTACAGGACATAATGCCAAGCCCTACTCTAACGTCATCTGAAGCTAAAAATTATTCTTTCCACTTTACCTTAGGAGTAGCATTATTTTCTTTCACAAAACTTCTCCCTCCTCTTTTAGATTAGCAGGGCTTAAAGTTTGAATCTTTTGCTTTCTGGTTTGATATTCAGCTTCTATCTGATGTTGGAAATGAGTTCAAAGTTTTTCACCCATTAATTTGCTACTTCTCTGGAAAATGTCTTATACTATTAATTGTGCTTGTAGATTCTTAAATGTTAGAAACCACAGGGATCAGTACCAAGCTTTGAAGCCCCGATTGCCATGGGCGAGTATGGATGAGAATGCAATGGATGCCAACATGGATGAGTTGTTAGATTTGTGTACTGGAAAGTTTACATCTCAGGCTGAAAAACGTCTACCCAGGAAGAGTGACAAGAAAGAGAACATGGAGGAATTTCTGAAGCTTTGTTCAGGAAAATTCACTTCTCCGGGTAAATATCTGACAGAAAGCATAAGGCTTACCACACCTAAAGATCAGTGTCCTTGTAAATCTTTTTCTTTGAAGAGAAACCCCTTGCCCTCAGGTGAAAAGTTTGCAGAAAACAGGCCTATTATGGGCCAGGTGTGTTGGCTCATGCTTGTAATCCCAGCATCTTGGGAGGCCAAGGTAGGAGGATTGCTTGAGGCCAGGAGTTCAAGACAAGCCTGGTAATCATAGTGAGACCCCATTACTACCCCCAAAAAATTAGCTGGATGTGGTGGTACACACCTGGAGTCCCAGCTAGGGGAACTCGGGAGGCTGAGGCAAGAGGAACTCTTTAGTCTAGGAGTTTGACACTGCAGTGATCTATAATTGTGCCACTGTACTCTAGCTTGGGTGACAGAACAAAACCCTATTTCAAAAGGAAGAAAGGGCTGGGCTCGGTGGCTCAGCCTATATCCCAGCACTTTGGGAGGCCGAGGTGAGTGGATTGCCTGAGCCTGCAGATTCGAGACTCACCTGGGCAACTTGACGAGACCTCATCTCTACAATAAATCAAAAAAAAAATTGAGCCGGGCGTGGTACTGTGCGCCTGTAGTTCCAACTACTTGGAAGGTTGAGGCGGAAGGATCTCTGGAGCCCAGTAGGTCAAGGCTGCAGTGGCCGGGAGCGGCCATTTCACTCCAGTCTGGGTGACAGAGTGAGACTCCAACTCAAAAAAAAAAAAAAAAAAAAAGGAAGAAAGGGAGGGAAAGAAAGAAAACAGGGCTATTGTGGAATCTTGCATATAAATTAAATTCATCCCTTAGCTCCCTTCCCTGACATTTAGATCTCTACTTTCTTTGAGTGGTAAAGTGTCAACTTAAGACTGCTTTAGCTTTGGCCAGATGACACATCATTTATAATTTATCTATGTACAGAGGTCAGACCAGTGTCTGGTAAATTGCATATAAATGGTAATTTATTATTGCCCTATCCCCGACACACATACCTGCTAGAACATAAGCTCTATGAGAGCTGAGATCTTTGTTTTGTTCACTATTGTATCTCTGGTGCTTGGTACATAGTAAGCACTAAATAAGAATTTGTTGAATGAATGGATGATAAACTCATTTTGGCAATTTACCTTAGAACTCTGTTGAACTGGCATGACTTTAGATGGCTGGGAAAAGAGGATGAAGCTATCATTACTTGATGACAAATTTTTTCCATGTTGTTATGTAGATGCCTCTACTCTGGCCCCCTCAGAGTTAAATAAGCCTGAAAAGGAGAGCAGCATGGATGATCCAATGGAAGAGGCACTTGCTCTTTGCTCAGGCTCTTTCCCAACAGACAGGTGAGTTTCAGAGATTGGTAGGAACTTTGGAAGCCTGCGTCTTTTGGAAAAATCCTGGGATAATGTCCTCTGAGCTTAGCAATAGTTGTTTATCTTAGGGACTCCATATCTTGTCTGAGGGCTTGCAGTGGGTTTGAGTCTTGTGTTTGCATAGTAAAGAAATTATAATACTGGCTGGGCTCAGTGGCTCAGCCTGTAATCCCAGCACTTTGGGAGGCCAAGGTGAGTGTATTGCCTGAGCCTGCGAGTTTGAGACCCACCTGGGCAACTTGGCGAGACCCCGTCTCTATAATAAATCAAAAATTAGCCGAGCGTGGTAGTGCGCGCCTGTAGTTCCAGCTACTTGGAAGGCTGAGGCGGAAGGATCACTGGAACCCAGCAGGTTGAGGCTGCAGTGACCAGGAGTGTGCCACTGTACTCCAGCCTGATCTCAAAAAAGAAATTATAATACTTTGGTAGAGAACAAGGTTAAAAAATAAATGTAAGAATAAGCATTTGAAAAATACTTAACATCACTAATAATTAGGGAAATGCAAATCAAAACTGCAATACAATACTTGCCTCACAGCCATTAGGATGGCTATTATCAAAAAGCAAACTAACAAGTATTAGTGAGAATGTGGAGAAATTGGAAACTTGGGTACTGTTGATGAGAATGTAAAATGATACAGCCACTAGGGAAAACAGTATGACAGTTCCTCAAAAAATTAAAAATATAATTACTATATGATTCATCAATTTCACTTCTTCGTATATACTCCAAAGAAATGAAAGCAGGGACCTGAACAAATATTTGTACACCCATGTTCAAAGCAGCATTATTCATAATAGTAAAAAATGTGGAAGCAGCTGGGCATGGTGGCTTGTGCCTGTAATCTATCTACTTGGGAGGCTCAGGTGGGAAGATTGCTTAAGGTCAGGGGTTCAATACAAGCCTGGGCAACATAACAAGACCTCATTTCTAGTCCCCTGTGTGCCTGTAGTCCCAGCTACTTGGGAGGCTGAGGCAGGAAGATTACTTGAGCCCAGGAGTTCGAAGCTGCAGTGAAATATAATCATGCCACTGCATTCAAGTCTGGAAAACAGCACGATCCTGTCTCAAAAAAATATGTGGAAGCAACCCAAGTATTTGTTGACAGATGAGTTGATAACAAAATGGAGAACTGTTTAATGGGTATAGAGTTACAGTTTTGTAAGATGGAAAGAGTTCTGGAGATTGCTTGTACAACAATGTAAATGTACTTAACACTGCTGAACTGAACACTTGAAAAAATTAAAATGAGCCAGGTGTGGTAGCTCACTCCTATAATCCCAGCACTTTGGGAGGCCGAGGTGGGAGGAACGCTTGAGCCCAGGAGTTCAAGGCAACACAGTGAGACCTCATCTCTACAAGAAAAAACAAAAACAAAAATTAGCTGGGTGTGGAGGCATGCGCCTATAGTCCCACCTATTCAGGAGGCTGAGGAAAGGATCACCCAAGCCCAGGAGGTTGAGGCTGTGCCAAGCTGTGATTGTGCTACTGCTCTCCAGCCTGGGTGAGAGAGTGAGACTGACTAAAAAAAAAAATTGTTAAAATGTATTAAAATGACAAATTTTGTATTAATGTGTGTTTTACCACAGTTGAAATTAAAAATAAAAAACTTGAGATATTTTGTCTCCTGTTTCTTGAAGAGATTATTGTGCTAATGAGCTATTTTAAATCGTTTTTCTTTTTTGAGTTGGAGTCTCATTCTGTTACATAGGCTATAGTGCAGTGGCATGATCACAGCTCAACACAGCCCCGACATCCTACACTCAGATGATCTTCCTGCCTTAGCCTCCTGAGCAGCTGGGACTACAGATGCATGCCACTATGCCTGGCTAATTTTTTGATTTTTTTGTAGAGATGAGGTCTTGTCATGTTGCCTACGCTGGTCTTGAACTCCTGGGCTCAAACGAGTCTCCCAACTCAGTCTCTCAAAGTGCTGGGATTGTAGTTGTGAGTCTGGCAATATTTTGACTTCTTAACTTGGCCAATTTCTTGTAGTTTGCTTTCAGCAACTTATTTATTGATTTGTTGATTTACATTTTAGGGAAGAAGACGGTGAAGAGAACGAATTTGGAGACTTTCGGCTTGTTCCAAATGATAATGAGTTTGATAGTGATGAGGTGAGTATGAAGGGAACAAAGCAATCATAATTGAACTTCATGTATTGCTGCCCTCAGAGTTTTTTTGTTTTTGCTTTTTGTCTCAGTTCCTGAGAATTCTGTTTGACATTTTGTTAGAAGCAATTTCCTAGAATGAGGTTTCTGGGCAGAAGTTTATAAATCCTGTTTTGGTTGAGGAAACATTTTATTCTGCTTACCTTTGGACATGGTACTATGATTTTGTAGGATGAACACAGTGACTCTGGTAATGAAGATTTGGCACTGGAAGATCATGAAGAAGATGATGCAGAACTCCTGAAGCAAACTGAGAAGTTGAAAAGGCAAATGTAGGTGTTACATCCATTCCTTCAACTGCTAGAAAGTTCCCCTAAGGGTTGAATTATAGTTTGTCACCTTTTTACCTAAATTTGCAGATTTTATTTCTGCTTTTTATGGATAACCCAGACAAAACAAAAACTTTCTTTCCCATGACATGAATATTCAAGGATGGTCATGTCTTCCTTAAATGACTTCTGTACTAAACATATCTTGTTACTTCCAGAAATAGTGACATGCTTCCAGTCTCCTTGTGTTGTAGACATTCTCTGTCCTCAGATGTGGTCTGACTCCTCAATTGTGCTGGATGCATACAACTTATAATATAACCAGAGATCATAAAAGTTGAGTTACCCTCTAGATCCTGAGGATCTACCAGATAACTAAATCTTTTTTTCCTGTGAATTCCTGATTCTGGGTTTTCCTCATTCTAACCTGGTGCAAATGACCCATGTTATTTTTTTTAATGTTGTTCTGATTATGAAAGTAAAACATAGCCGGGCTCGGTGGCTCAGCCTGTAATCCCGCGCTTTGGGAGGCTGAGGTGAGTGGATTGCCTGAGCCCGTGGGTTAGAGACCCGCCTGGGCAACTTGGCGAGACCTCATCTCTACAATATATCAAAAAATTAGCTGGTTGTGGTAGTGTGCACCTGTATTTCTGGCTACTTGGAAGACTGGGGCAGAAGGATCACCTAAGCCCAATAGGTTGACGCTGCAGTGGCTGAGCGTGTCACTGCTCTCCAGCCTAGATGACAGAGTGAGACTCTGATTCAAAAAAAAAAAAAAAGTTAGCCTTCAGAAAGTTATCATACTTCTGCCATTTTTGACCATAGATAAGAAGACTTTGAACTCAGGGTAATAGCAGATTTATTCTCAGGGACAGCTAAGGTCAGAAAAAGTCTGAGCCTCAATCTTGCCTCTAATGTGGGTGGGGGGAGGTGGTGTCAAGATTGGTTGGTAGGCTATAAGAAGATCCCAGTCTATTACTTTTCTATACCATGTCATCTCTAGTCTGGCCTAAAGCTGGTGTGCTTAAACATAAAACAAAATAATTTGAACCTTCCAGCAGTATTGACAATATGTAAAGATTCAGAGTTTTCTGGCTTTGGAGTAACCCAACACTCTGCTAACTTCTAGTGGTGATCTCGGGTAAGTTGTTTAATCTCTTTGAGCCTCGGTTTCCTCAACTGTAAAATGAAGGAAATAATAGTACCCACTTCTAAGATTATGTGGTAATATCTGTAATGCAGTTATTGGCATATGGTATGTATTAAGTGATCATCTTTTATTTATTTATTTTATTTTATTTTTTTGGGTTGGAGTCTCACTCTGTCACCCAGACTGAAGTGCAGTGGCATGCTCCCGGCTACCGCAGCCTCAACCTGCTGGGCTCCGGTGATCCTTCCGCCTCAGCCTTCCAGGTAGCTGGAACTATAGGCGCGCGCTACCACGCCCAGCCAATTTTTTTATTTATTATAGAGATGAGGTCTCGCCAAGTTGCCCAGGTGGGTCTCAAACCTGCGGGCTCAGGCAATTCACTCACCTCGGCCTCCCAAAGCGCAGGATTACAGGCTGAGCCACTGAGCCCAGCCGTGATCAACTTTTAAATACAGATGCTCCTCAACTTAAAATGGGGCTACATCCCAGTGAGCCAATTCTAAGTTGAAAATGCACTTTTGACTTATCCAGACATAACTCCATCGTAAATTGAACATACTGAATGTGTATTGCTTTTTGCACCATCATAAAGTTGAAATGATTAAGTCAGACCATCATAAGTAAGGGACTGTCTATTACCAATAAGAATATTATTTAAATGTTATCAAAATCTATTATAAATTCAAGCATATTATTCTTATCAGAAATGACTCTGTTCTGCGTTCTTATTGTCTCCATCATATTCTGTTTGTATATTTATTGTTGCTTTTTTTTTTTTTTTTGAGTTGGGGTCTCACTCAGTCACCCAGGCTGGAGTGCAGTGGCATGATCGCAGCTCACTGCAGCCTTGACCTCCTGAGCTCAGGTGATCCTTCCACCTATGTAACTGGAACTACAGGTGTGCACCACTTTGCCCAGCTAATTCAATTTTTTTCATAGAGATGAAGTCTTGCTTTGTTGCCTGGGCTGGTCTCGAACTCCTAGGCTCAAGCAATCCTGCCTCGGCTTCCCACAGTGCTGGGATTATAAATGTGAGCCACCACGGCCAGCCAGCATTTTCTAATCTTCCGAATTGCTTTTCAGGAGATTAAAGAAATACCTGGAGGATGAGGCAGAAGTGTCAGGAAGTGATGTGGGGAGTGAAGATGAGTATGATGGGGAAGATATTGATGAATATGAAGAGGACATGATTGATGAAGTACTTCCTTCTGATGAGGAACTACAGAGTCAAATCAAGAAAATACACATGTCAGTATCCCATCAAACCCTTCTAAGGAATGAGGTGTACCTTAAGGCAGCCCTGTCACCAGCCAGAATGACCCTGATTTTAAACACCTAATTTCCTATCTGTTGTAGGAAAACCATGTTGGATGATGACAAGCGACAGCTACGTTTGTACCAAGAGAGGTACCTTGCTGATGGAGATCTGCACAGTGATGGCCCTGGGCGAATGAGAAAATTCCGATGGAAAAACATAGGTATCTTGGTTGTTGTTTTTAGAGTCAAACCGTCGTAATGTGCATGTTTGTCCAGTTTAAGATGGTGAGTGAAAATTAAAACTATAATAGGCTATGTGGACAACCTAGCCGTAATCATTATTGTCTTTTAGTAGATGGGAAAAGTTTTTGTCATTGTATAGTAAATGATAAGGGTGTGTCCAAGCACCCTCTCCTGTGAAGACTGAAGAATGCTACTAGCCTTAACTCTTTGCTTTAGATGATGCTTCCCAGATGGACTTGTTCCACAGAGACTCTGATGATGATCAGATTGAAGAACAGCTTGATGAGACAGAAGCCAGATGGAGGAAGGAGCGAATTGAACGAGAGCAGTGGCTTCGGGACCAGGTAGGAAGTCTGCAAAAAAAGCTTCTATTCTGACCCCAGTTCATGAGAACGAGAGGCTCCAGTCACTTAGCTTGTCATGACAGTTTCAAAATCTAAGCCAACATATTGCGTACCTTTTAATCCTTGAGGTTTCTTTTCATTGAAAAGGTTACTATGGGCAAGTCTCTTCATGTTTGTCCAGAATAGTTTTTTTGTTTATTTAAAGCAGCAAAGGTTACAAAAAGAAAGGTAGATGCTATCCCCAGGTACCCTGATTTCACAACCCAGACTATGATAACCATTTAGGAAGACTGTAAACTTTTCTGTGAATACTGTACAAGGTATGATTTTTTTTTTCCAGGCACAGCAGGGGAACATTACAACTGAAGAAGAAGAAATTGGGGAAGACAGTCAGTTTATGATGCTAGCCAAGAAAGTTACAGCCAAAGCTCTGCAGAAGAATGGTGAGCTCTTGTTTTTCCTTAGGATCTAGCCCTCCGGATTGTTAATGCTGGAGCCTTGGAGGTGACTGTAACTTCAGGGACTGTTGCAGCTTAGTCATAAGCTTGTATCTAATACTGTCTTAAAAAGCCCCTGCAGAGGTGAGGAGAGACTGTGTACTTGGATCTTAGACTGTTGAGCAATAGAGGTTGTACTTGTGAGTATATATAGCTGGTTTTGCTTTATGTAGTAAGACTCATGGTAATGAATTCCGGCTTCTCTATTTAGTTTCCCGGGATTATATACCTAAGTGTTAGAGCTGGAGTTTGAACCCAGGAATGTTTAACTCTAGAAATGAAGTTCTTAGACAGTACTCCATGCACTTAACCACTTCTATTTTTTCTTAAACTGTTTTTGTTGCCGGGCACAGTGGCTTACATCTGTAATTCTAGCACTTTGGGAGGCCAAGGTGAGAGGATTGCCTGAGTCCAGAGGTTCAAGACCAGCCTGGGCAGCTTGGTGAGACCTTGTCTGTACAATAAAAAATTAATTGGGTGTGGTGGCACATGCCTGTAGACCCAGCTACTTGGAAGGCTAAGGCGGAAGAATCACCTGAGCCCAGCAGGTCAAGACTGCAGTGGCTGTGAGTGTGACACTGAACTCCAGTCACTGGGATGACAGAGTAAGACTGACTAAAAAAAAAAAAAAATTTTTAAACTGTTGCTGTTAATGATTAATCAGTAAGTTCAACTTAGTTGCCTGTCTTCTTGTGATTTTTGTTGTTTTTGAGTTGGAGTCTCACTCCATTGCCCAGACTGGAGTGCAGTGGCATGCTCACGGCCACCATAGCCTTGACCTGCTGGGCTCAGGCAATCCTTCCACTTCAGCCTTCCAAATAGCTGGAACTACAGGCATGCGCCACCATGCCTGGCTAATTTTTTGGTTTATTGTAGAAACGAGGTCTTACCATGTTGCCCAGGCTGGTCTCAAACCTATGGGTTGAGGCAATGCTCTCACCTTCCACCTCCCAAAGTGCTGGGATTATAGGCATGAAACACTGCACCTGGCTAGTTGCCTGTCTTCTTGGAGCCACTTACTATCATTTCAAAATCACCATTGTAAAATAGTCAGTGTTTCTATGGCTTTAGCTTATTGGTTTAGTTACAAGGTCTCTTAGCTTGCTTAGAATTAAAAGTAGTCCTAACCAGCTTTGCCCAGAACAGGTTTCTGTCTTTTCTTTCCAGTCAGTCACTCGATGGTTGTTCAGGAATCGAAGTCTTTACTCAGAAATCCTTTTGAATCCATCAGACCGGGAAGTGCTCATCAGGTTGGTTGGGGACTTTGTTTATGTGACATTATGGTCTTCAGCTTATAAAGGCTCAGGTCAAGCTAAGGAAAGAGTCTCTGTTATTAGAGGAGGGAAGTGGCTGAGGAAAAGGAAGTAGATATTGAAGGAGCCCGCTGTTTCTTTTCTACTTGAGTAGGGTAGGTATATGTCCCCTCAATACCTGGGGGAAGGACTTTTCATTCTTTCCTTAGCATTTGGGATTTGATACCAGATAACTCTTTCCTCAGCTGAAGACAGGCTCACTACTAAACCAACCCAAAGCTGTGCTTCAGAAACTGGCTGCTCTCTCTGACCTCAACCCCAGTGCTCCCCGAAATTCAAGAAACTTTGTCTTTCATACACTGTCTCCTGTCAAGGCTGTGGCGGCAAAGGAATCATCTAAGCCACAGGTAGGGAATTTGAGAACAAGTATGGTAACTCCCCAAAACAATTTATTATTCATTAATAATTAATTTTATTTATTTGAATTTAAAAACAAAAATTATGGCTTAATGTCCTATGCTGCAGTGTTGAAATCCTGCACTCCTCAAGATACAAGGAAATTGCTACCCCCAATAGGTAATTACCTTTTTTTTTTTGAGTTGGAGTCTCACTCTGTCGCCCAGACTGGAGTGCAGTGGCACGCTCCCAGCCACCGCAGCCTCGACCTGCTGGGCTCTGGCAATCCTTCCATCTCAGCCTTCCAAGTAGCTGGAACTACAGGCGTGCGCTACCACGCCTGGCTAATTTTTTGATTTGTTGTAGAAATGAGGTCTCGCTAAGTTGCCCACGCGGGTCTCAAACCCATAGGCTCAGGCAATCCACTCATCTCAGCCTCCCAAAGCGCGGGATTATAGGCTCAGTTCCCAAGCCCGACTGGTAATCACCTTTGAAACTTGCCTGAAAAGCTTACATTTCTTTCTTTTTTGTTGTTGTTGTTATTAATCATCTATGATTTATCTATGAGTTGCTTAAAACTAATGAAAGGTAAGTATCTGTATAAGGGTCTTGAGCTAGCCCTGACTCCCTTTCTTCTCTCTAGGTGAGGAGAAGAGGTCCATCTTTAATGACATCCCCTTCACCTAAGCGCCTCAAAACAGATGATAGCACTTCAGGATTGAAGCAAAGCATCTTCAAATACTTGGAAAGCTAACACAATCAAGAGTGCCAGCATCTATGTTGAGACTGCTTTGAGAAGTTTCTGACACAGAAAGTTGGAACTGGCGCTGAAAGTTGGACACTCACACTGATGATCCCTCCTTCCTTCATAATCAATGCATTAAGATTGTGAGCAGAGATTCCAGTTCTTCCTAGTGCACAGCTCGGGACATCCCTTTCCTTTCCTATTGTTATTTCCTGAGTTGGTCACTAATCTTAATTCTACAGTATTTACAACATTGACTCATGGAATACTTGGGTGAAGTCTCTCTCCCTCCATTCAACATTTGACATTTTATCCTAGCAACTTCCTGGGTTGATATCTCTTTGTGATAGAGGTGGCTGAAGGAGGAGAAAGAAGAAGAAGAATGTGACATTATAGAAGATCACAGAAAACAGTGAAGTCAGTATCATAATGACTACTTCACCTCCATAAGATTCATATTATGGTGACCAGGATTCAGTGAAGGAGAGACTTCTTAGATGCAGGACCTAGGAACCAACAGATAGGTTGTTATGTGAGTCTTGCCCTTTCGATTTTCCTGTATGCTTCTTCCCAAGGCAGCCTCAAATTTCTAATTAACTTCTACTGCTTAATAAGGACTTGAACTGGTAGAGTAGGAGTATGTCTCCTCAATACCTAGGGAAAGGCAGGGAGAGAAAGACTTTTCATTCTTTCCTTAGCACTTGGGATTTGATACCAGATGACTCTTTGTCATCTGGTTGTTTGTCCACATTAGTCTATGAAGCAGAGAGACATTTCCTGGGACTAAATTCTCAATTTGAAACACTTGATCAAGGTCTTCCCTTCTCAATCTGACAAGAGGAAGTAAAACCATTATTTATTGCATTCTCTTGGCTTGAGTACATTGCTCTGACTAATCAACAGACATTTCAGTATTTCATTACTAATTTTGGGAGAAAACTATTGTGGAGTTTAATAAGAATATTGTCGAAGATAATTGCCATTATTCCCCATTTTCCTGAACTACCACAAGGCTCTCAGAATTCTAAACAGATTTTTTTTTTTCCCCCTTGGAACTGAACATTAATGCTGCTGTAGAAAAACATTCTATGTGAGTGTTGTGGTTTCAGTATCAGGAGGTGGACTTGGGAAGTTGGAGAAGATTGTACCAGTTTTTTGTTGAGAGTTGGGAATCACCAGTTTTAATTAATGAAATTAAGTTGTGAATTTTCTACAGTTTTTTTTAACAGTCAAGATGTGGACTTTGACAGAACTCATGTTTGTATATTTGTAATCTTGTAATGGGGAAAATGTGTATAAAGATATTTTAATATGTATGTAGTTTTTCAATAAATCTCAATGCCTTAAAGGGAGGATTTGTTGTTCAGCTTGAATGCTCATTCCTAGGTCAGTGACTGTTTGATGTTGAGCATTTCATTTTCCAGTTATCTCCCTTTAGGGGAAACCCTCTGCATATAGAGTAAGAGACTGCTGCAGTTGTCCCCTCACTAGCTTCTCAGCCCCAGTGAACTGATCAAATTAACTTACCAAGTGATTTGAGTTCTGTGCCGGTGAGGAGGAGAGTTTACATAAATGGTACCTGTTGTTGTAACTCTTTGATTGGCACTTTCTCTTTAGCTAACTTTGCATGTACTTCATTATAGCCATGGAACCAAGATGAGATTTAATTGCCTCTCTCTGTGAGCTCTCTAAGCAATGTCCAAGGCAAGGCAGCCCTTGCTGGGCAAAAGAGAACTGGGAAGGAAAGCTAGATTTTTCTCCACTCTTTCTTCCCTGTATGTCTTTTTTTTGAGGAGCAGAAAAGGATTGGAATTGACCACTGAGAATAAGAAAATTAGTGCCTGATATCTGGAGAACATATTGTTTCTAACTGAGACTCTAGGGAAAAAGCACTCTTGGAGAAGGAAAAATTGGGTCTTTGTTTTTGTTTTTTTGATTAGGAGTCTCACTCTGTCAACCCGGCTAGAGTGCAGTGGCACGCTCATGGCCACTGCAGCCTTGACTTACTGGGCTCAGATGATTCTTCCACATCAGTTTTCTAAGTAGCTGGAACCACAGACACATGCTAGCACACCTGGCTAATTTTTTAATTTATTGTAGAGTCAAGGTCTCGCCGAGTTGCCCAGGTAGGTCTCAAATCCCTGGACTCAGGCAGTCCTCATACCTACATGTCCCAAAGTACTGGGATTACAGGCATGAGCCACCACACCTAGCTGTAAAGTTGGATCTTGAATTCTTGGTCATAATACAAGCTAACTCTTGATCTTGGTAACAGGAGTGAAACAATTTTGACCTAATCCATATGCCCTTTTCCCAAAGCACTGAGCCATCATCATTAGCCCTGTTTTAATGAAATTAAAGCCCCAGGGTCTGCTACTATGGCTCCTAGTAGGACTCACCTTCTCTACTTTGGAAATTATATATTTGGATGACTGAGAGAGCCCATGAATCTGGGCCCATTACTCACTCGGTCCTTTCATCTCCTCTTGTTCCATACACTTGAGTAGGGGTACATGGTATTGACCTCTTTAAACAGGTCTTCAATATCATCCCACTTAATTCAGTCCACAGTTTAACAAGCCACACTAGGGTCTTTTCCATAATGCATCAGGTTATAGACACTAAAGCTCTAGAGACAAGTTGCTCAGATCTCTGTGGGATCCCTCATCTTCTCAACTGCCTCTCTACAAACTTCTCACATTAAGAGTTTCTAATAGACTAGAAGACTTTTTAATGGGCGTTTTGTCTCCTGGGGTTATATCTAATAACTCTTGGGGCTTCCTGTCCTGGGACTTGTGTACATAAGGATAAGTGAGAGTATTTCTAGGAGGAAAGTTGCCATGAGATTATTTGATTATATGATGCTTGAGATGGTATTGTATCTTCTACGTTTATATCCTACTCAAAGCCTGGCATACAGCTTGGAATATAGTGGTGCCCAGTAAAATTTGAATAAATAGTACCACACCTTTCAGAGCCTCTGTTAATGTCTATAAAATGAGGATACTAATTCATACCTGACTCAGAGTTTCTGTGAGGCTTAAGATAGAAAATGTATGTCAGTACATTATGTTATCTGGTACTCTGCAAGCATAGGAAATTGCCAGTGTCACCATTGTTTGATATTTTATAGGCCATTCTTTAAAGGCCCGTTGTTTCATAAACATTTCAACCTTAACATCTTTAAAAATATGATCTTCCGGCTGGGCTCGGTGGCTCAGCCTATAATCCCAGCGCTTTGGGAGGCTGAGGTGAGTGAATTGCCTGAGCCTGCGGGTTCGAGACCTGCCTGGGCAACTTGTCGAGACCTCATCTCTACAATAAATAAAAAATTAGCCAGGCGTGGTAGTACGCGCCTGTAGTTCCGGCTGCTTGGAAGGCTGAGGCGGAAGGATCGCCAGAACTCAGCAGGTCGAGGCTGCGGTGGCCGGGAGCGGCCACTGCACTCCAGTCTGGGTGACAGAGTGAGACTCCAACTCAAAAAAAAAAAAGAAAGGAGAGGTCAAGCCCAAACAAAGCTCCAAGGTCCACCAACGGTGACTAGCTATATGATGGTACTTGTGTCAGTGGTAGAAATAAAGGCCTGTATGTATGCCTGGACTCTCATTGTAAATGGGGAAATAGACATGGCTTTGTGTATGACTGGTGTCACCTCAGATTTTACTATAGAGACCAAGGTGCCAGGTGCCAGGTCTCTCTGGCCCTAGTAGTTAGTCTGTACTGTTCACGTCCTTCCCATCCCCTTTCTGTCCTCTTTTCTCTCACCTTGAAGGTTTTTCATCTTCAGCTTATTGATTTAGCTCTTCCCCGTGGTGGGATACATAATGGGATAAGGGGGTTTGAAGTAGCAACAGCCTAAAGGTGATTGGAGGAAGCTGAGGGGCTGGAC